TGACCTACGATGGTTTTCTCAGATCAGCTATTATTGGAAATAACCCGTAAGTAACTTAGATTATAACATTGGGTAGCAGAGCCGACCGATGTTTACCAAAAATAGAGTTCCGATGGAAGTTTCGAATAGCTCGACACTTTCTTGATTAATCTATCTGACTGAAATGCATTTTAAAAGACAACAGGGGCAGCACATTGAGGAAAATACATTAAAAGAAAATACAAAAGAAAGCACAAATAAAAATTACACAAAGGAATTTATATCGAAAAGATATGATTTTTGAGAAACTAAACTGACTAACTTTCGTAAGTTTTCGACGCTCTTTCCGTAGGTCTCCATCAGACATGTAAAAGGATAAAAGTTTAAAATTTTAACATGCAAAAAATCGATATTTCTTTGTCAGCGCTCTGAATGGGTCGATTCCAAAGTCGAAATCATGTTTTGATATGTTGTTATTTTTTCCATTTTTCTTTGAAATCAGTGTAGGTGGCGTCCAGGTCGATGCCCCGATTGATGCGTGTATTATCAGAGTGAATTAGCTCGAGGAATTCTTCGCCTATTTTATATGGGCAGAAACCGTCAGTGCACGTTTTATCCCGAGCAATTTTGTGCCAAGTTTATAGCGTACGCATGGCTATTTGGAATAAGTGGTCTCATCTCTTCACTGCCAACTGGTGTTCATGTAAGCGTTTAGAGGCAGATTTTTAGGTTTGACAACAATCTACTGTGGGTGAGAAGAATAGAACCATTAGGACATACACCTCTTCCTATGGAAAACAATTTGAAATTTTAAATGGACTAACTCCTGACTACTAGCGCAGTCGTCAAAATTCCGGACGATATCTCTTATACGAAGCTGGCAGAACACACTTGTTCTGGGGCTACATCCTGTGAAACTGATTTTTGTCATTAAAGTATGCTTACATCGTCCGATCAGACAATGCCCAGATATTTGGATCCCAATCCACGCTAAGTTAAATAAAATACAGAAAAACGTTTAAAGCAAAAACAAAAACAATGAGAAATGTTTCGCAAAAACCGGGGACCTTAAAACGCAGAAAGCGACATTTTCAGAGCAACGTGTCTCCGATGCAAACTATTTATGTCATACAGTTGACTTTACTTCCGGACTTTTGAGATTTGCACACCGATATCATTGTAAGTCGTTAGTTTTCCACTCATTCTCTGTTAAACAGTTGAGCCCAATACTTACCGAATTTTACTACCAAACAGCAAAAATAGGGTCTTCGGTAAGGACTATTTGATCAGAGGTCGGTACATGAGGTACTTGAGGAATAATCGACATTTACGGATATGTACGCTAATTCGATTCATTCTGCAACATTGAATGGCATAAGAACAACCACTTTCATATAGTAAATTTTAACAATCAATCAGACGACGAGCGTACAAGTTATTATTTATGCTATGTTCACTAATTCAGGTGCATTTTTATATGATAAAATGCAGACTCTGTTACTGATGTCGTGGAACTTGATAAAATTGCTGATTCCTAGACACTATTTGGGGGGATGACAACATTGGCATAAATTTACATATCTTTGAATCAATTTGTCTTAGCAAATGCAGTGAAATGTCTTCACGAAAATAATCTCCCATACACGCGGGACGGCATTTAAACCTTATATTAACATATTTTATCGCACTCATTCATCGCGTTTTATTTATGTTGGTGTAAAATCAGTCCAGGGAAATGTCTGTTAAAAAAACAAAAATCTGGGGATGATAGAAATGATAAACTGCAAAATTGCTCATTATTTCATAAAAATGTACTTTGCAGTACGGTCGTTTTCAATAATTCGGCATCATGCATAAATGCGTTATAGGAAATCAGATTACTGAGCAATTTCCGCATCCTAAACCCTAGATGGTCTTTACGATAGCCTTACTACTCTAAACGGAGGCACAGAAAAACGTGCCTTTGCATAATTTATATGCTTATATACCTCTTTAGTGGAAAAAAATAGGCTTAAGAATTAGTTTGTTCAGCGCTCTAAACTCTTCCAAACCCAGGTGAGATGACCTCTGAGAAGTGTCCATTGGATAATGATTGCTTTTAATGCCAGTCTACATGCTTAGTCAAAATACGTATCTTGTGCGGATAGAGAGAGCAGTATTCAAGAAATTGCTTGGGTGGGCGACACGTCCCATATACAGCGCTGAAAGTCTTAGGAAGTTAAAACATCCCTATGCCACCTGATTTTAATGCTTAGACCTTTATGTAATCATAAGGAAGATGTAGATATCCGCCATTTCCCCTGCATTCAGCTTAACGATTACCATTTCTCTCCTCAAGAACATTCGGTGTTGAGGTAACTCGACCCTTGCATATGAACTATCTTTTTGTCACTCGAACTGTCTCCTTGAACTGGACTTGTCCTACTTTCCCCTTCGTTTTATTTCCGTAAATTCGGCTGAACCTTCAGGGCAGGAGAAGCACAAACGGAAGAAAACTGACTTGGTGATCACATTAGTTAGGAAAGTGGTCGGATGCTGTTTTTCTGCCTGAAAAAATTGTCGCAATACAAACACACTTTATAGCGGTAAATGACTTTGGAGACAAAACTGTTCACCCCAGCTAAGAGCAAGTTCTTGCAAGGAAGAGGAACTCAGGAAGGTCAGAACATGTTGGTTCGCATCGAGAATGTCATACACAGGATCTTTGACATGGCCTGACCTCGCGCTTCCTGAATTGTGTCGTTTGACCGAAAACGGACACCAAAAAGGCGCGTTTTAACAAGTCACGACTAGGACTTGCATATAAATGAATGTTCCGTTACTCCGTATGAAAGAGCCCGCAATATCAAGTGAAAAACATCCCGCAATATGTAAGCATGCTATTCGCGTTATTGTTTGAAAATCAGCATGAGATATAACATGACTTCGTGCATGGCATAACTTAATACTATAAATCCGTACTTATTCACCATTTGATGTTATGTTGCCTTGCATCGTCAGGGCAAATCCTGGTTTCCTAATTCTCCCCTGACACCTGTAGAGACTGGTCTCCGTTTTCTTAATCCAATTTAAATATTTATACCGGCCTCTCCCACTTAATTTACTTCGGGCTTCTCTGAACTGCGCAGTCTCTGTGATTCCAACTTCCGATGGCATCAACTTCAACACTGTAAATTTATTGGCTCATTTAATAGGGCATGTGAACCGCCGTCTGGGTACTAAGCGCATATCTGACACGCATTTGGGCTAGCACACTGCGTTAAAAGACGTCGTCTGGAAGGCCGGCAAGTGAGGTGATAACTCAGTCCCCCTCTCAATGTAGGCGGTAATAGCTCCTTAAATTATGTGGGTTCGAAGTTGCCCTCATTCATTTGGGATACGAATCGACACCTGTCTTGTTTCTGTGAAAAAAGTGGTACATGGCGCGTCGAAGTAGACGGAGTGTACAACTTTATAGGCAAGTGCCCCCCCCCAAACTCCCTTCCGGTCTCTTTGACTCTGTTTTGAGACCGGAGGCAGGCGACTGAGTGAGGATCAGGTGAAGCAGATGCTGCGACAGACTGTTATCATTATTAACTAGTTTACACGCAAGCAAGCAACCAACGCACACCCTTCTGTGAGGTAGTAGATGGACATCACTGTTCGCGAGGGTTAGATTGTCAGCTCTAGTGGTAGAGGGACATTAACCGAGAGTTTCTTCGGGACCCACTCGTCGCTTTTTGACTTCCGGGCTCTTTCGAACCCAACCAGCAACCGCAAAGCGGCGCATAATATAGACAGAGCGTTATTACCGACAAAGACAAGGGAGCCTTGTTCTGGCCGTTGTCAACCAGTCATATCCGATCCCGAAGTGCGGAACACCTGGGGCTCGATCCCGCCTGTCTTATTGGTAATCATATTCTGCCCTCTTTAAGTTCATCTGCTCATTTTTCACTTATTGCCTGTGGGTCACAGCAGTTCATTTCCCTTCTGATTGCTTTAGGAAGACAGCGATAATGTTTTCGACAAAGTCTTAAAATTAAAAAGTGTACATATTAGATATCTATTAGTATCTATTAGGTATCTATGTCGGGAGTACCGTATAATACCTTTACCATATGGAATTCATACTAATCGTAGTACTACTTGTTCATAGAATGGGCATTACGTGGTTATTCCACAGTAGTTGATTGTCTTCGACTCGAATTTTCATTGAAATTTTGGTTCTGACTTTAAAAGGTCATGTCCCGAGATTTAACTCCAAGTCCTGCAGAGTAATTTCTAAAATTATTCTCTGGAGTTCATATACCAGAAACCGCTAGAGAACGCTGGGGGTCCCACTGAATAGCCAAACCCCTCGCAGCTGTGTCACGCAGCAGCAGAATATCGGCGAAACACGTGTCAGGGCTTTTAGCAAGTATCTATGTCGAGAGTACGGTATAATACCTTTACCATATTAGATAGGATACAAAACCGTTATTTTTCTTACCTGAACATCAAAGAAAACTGACTGTTCTTTTCTAACCAAACCCAGAAGGCAGATGACTTGTAAATTCATTTTTGTAAAACAAGAACAAACTGGGATTTGGTATGTCTGTGCGGAGTTTCAAACTCAGGCCCCAGCCAACCTGCGGCTGATGAGAACTGCTGCCAACTCTCTAGTGCTCTGAATCTGATTGGTCCACGCGCCATGTGGACGTACGCGCAAGTGGTTTTACCGCGTGCCAAATCAGCCAATGACCGGCCTGAACTAGCTTCAGACAAACAACAAATTTCGCAAAATTCTCGTCCTCAGATTATTAACTCGGACCTGAGTTCCATGAGTCGGAATACTACTCTTGCCTAACTGATGACTAGTCTTCCTCACTGCATGCATGCGAGTCCTCGCTTTATAATTCGATTGCATTTCTCCTTTCTTTTCACGAAGGTTGAAGTTATTTGTGGGAATTTTTTTGCTCAACCTTCTCCCCTCCTCGGTATGGGCGATATCCACAAGCCCACCACCAACGACAGGCAGGCCAGCCTACCCAACCCCCATCTTAATGACCATCCCGGTGGAAGTTGGGAAAATACTGAACAATGAAGTCGAAATTCCACATATGAGTCGTGTAATTCATTGTTCTTCTTAAAGTTGAGCCAAACTCTTGGTGCGGACCACTGAGATTTCATTTTGTACTTTTAGCTCTATACTACTGACGGCTCCGCGAGTGACGGACTGCGAGTAGCAATAAGAGGTTCGTCGTTTTTTTATATTAATGTGCGAATTTCGGTTTGAATGAGTTAAATGTTTACAGAATCAACGTATCTCACTTTTATAATAGACATTTGTAGGCCAACAAATCATTTTTTGAAGTGTCATGAGTATCTGTATTTTCACCGTATTGTTCACCGCATTCGGACTGTAAAAATTTCAGTATGGGCTAAGTTTGGCGCAAAAAATAGGATACGTTGAAATCCTGTTAGTAGTATATTTATAGTCATTTGGGTAATTCGTTAGATCAGGCTTTTGCAGTTTGGGTTGCCTTTCAGCAGGTGAGTATCCCAGTCGAACTCCAGATTAAGTCCTATTTTGCAGGTGCGCTGTCATGTACTTTGAATATGCGCAGATTTTTCATCAGTTATGCAGCATCTTGTTGTCGTTATCACTTTTTGAAGTTCTGGAACTAAAACTGTCAGCCTTTTTTTTCAGGGGCAACGTCTACTGGAGTGGTTCCTACTACTTGTGACTTGCAGAAGGCTGTCAGTATCGGCCACATTCGGCTCGCAGACGAAAGTAATGCAACTGTCTTTGGATACATCCGCATCAACGGACGTAAGTAGTGATTTCTTAAACCGTTATAAATGCAGAAAATGCCACTTTTACTTGACGTTAAGACGGAATGCGATGCTTTTGACAGTGCGTTTGTAAGGAACACTGGTTCGATGAAGTGCTTATGACCCATCAGGTGGATCCCAGAGGTGGATCAAATACGCCAGGTGCGTCTGTGCGCATGATTGTGCTTCTGGTCCCAGCAACTGGTCAGGGTTATGGTTGGCTGAATAAAGGCAAAATAAGTCTGAAACAGTACTGCATCAATCTATCCGCATTCCTGTCGTCCCGTCTCGCAACCGATGGGGCAACAAGCCCGTGACTCTGTAGGTAGAGGCGTTGGATTTCTAACTAACAGATCGCGGGACCGAGTCTCAGGTGTTCCACACCTCGGGGTTGGGCATGACTGGCTGACGATGACTGATGAACCAGAAATGGTCATTCTATTCTCCCTTGTCTTTATCGGTAATGATATTCTGCCCATATATGTATATATACATCACAGTGGAGCACAACAAACCTTGAGACGGATTGAAAGCTACCTACCCCGGGATTTTCTGCCTCTATTTACTCAATCATAAACATGCTGCTACTACTCCTGTGTGAGTTCGAAAGCTCACAACAATAAGCTGAAGGTTCCGGTGTTCTACCAGCCTCCCTCTTTGCTAATACCTACACCTGGAATTCGAACTTTCGCCTTCGTAACTATAACCGCAATTTACAACCGACAGTTCGACCGTCGATTTCGCCAGATATACAAACATGCGCATGTTGCAGGGGACATAATTACACCATCCAGTTGAGGTTCATTGGTCCTTTCCCCAGCTGCAGATTGTAAAACGACCGATGCGCACCCATTTCAACATGAATAAACAACTGATCTTTAGCAAGAGATAATGCCAGGCATTCGAATGTGGTCAAAATAAGTAGGAAACAGCACGCAGTAATCCATGTCGTCACCTCCCGCTGACTGCGTTTGGACTGGCAAATTTGGTGACCTCTATCGCTCAATCTGATCTTTTTAGCTTCAATAGGCCGGCATATCTGTCTGCAACCATTCCAGCATAAAATTCACTTTACTTAAAATATTACTCTTTATACGTCTTCAGGGACCATAAATGACAACACAGTCCCTAGTACGTCCACAAAAGTGCACATCGGTGACCTCGGGGTCTCGTCCGGGTTGGAAGTTGAGAAGACAAAACGGTTCACTCTTCCGTTCATTTCACAAGTAAGAGATAAACTCTCAAACTTATAGTCACACAGCACTTGTAGTTTGCTCACTAACCATCCTTTTTCGTTTTTAGACCACAGTTCCCGCCGACTGTTTTCAAACGGACATAGGTAATCGTGGCAAATTGAGCGCACCTGCTCTGTGTTTGCAGGAAGTCTCAACTTTAAACTTAAAGATGCAGATGCTAGGGCTAGAGGCGAAACCTAGTAGTGCTCAGTGACAAACTAGTTGAGAAACTGGTGACAGCCGTGAGGACGAACGGGCCTCTTGTGCGTGATTTTATGCAAGGTTCCGCGTCTCTTGTGATTATAGCATCGGGACTACGAATAATCTTATCAACAGTGTGGCGCTAATCCAGAGGCAGTGTCGGAATTCAGTCATGCCAAAGTCACGCAAAATGTGACAACTTTTTCAGATTGTATTCTCACTCTAACTATTCTCAGATATCCGAGTGCACCTGAAGTATTTGTGCAACTGATAGTCTTTGGTAAATGTTTCATCAGTCAGCATCAGTCAGCCTATTTGCAGTAAACGATAGAAGCCCTTAAAACTCCATTTAAACAGTGCAGCTGAGGATGAAAAGACCTTAAGTCGCAAAAAACTTCACATGTAGGGTTAGCATGCAGAATACATAAAACTAATGGCTAAGCATAAGTGTGAGAAAAGTGTGGCATTTGCGAACTAACGGCGAAAGACACAGTCACCGCATTCGCATTGTGAAATTTTCATCTGGCTTAAAGCCAATTTGCACAAAGCGCCCTGTTTAAATCATGCTAGTAGCATGCTGAGAGTTATTTCATTAATCAGTTAGATAGAGCTTGGGGAGTTCAAATTTAAATAAAAACACCTACCTGAGGACCCGAAAGCTCGACCGCCGTTGCCGACGATGTCCACCGTGTGATCCACAGCGACTTGCGTGAAAATTTGTGTATAGTGAATGCAGACTTGCACAGCATCTATCGCACTCTCTCCTCCCCCACCTGGGTCTGGTGTCAAGATAGAGTCAATAAGACCGGAGCCGAGGGAGGGCGCAAGTGGATGGCACGGCCGAGACCCGCACCTAGGCGAACTAGCATACACCTTCGTCCACAACAAACAGCTATTCACGAGGACCTGAGGATAAACATCTATAATTGAGGCACTGGGGAATAAATAATCCTAATTATTCGATTCGAAATGTTTAGACCCTCGGCTAGGGACAATACCATATTCGGCGTGGACTAACATAGAAAATAGAGAATGGGAGCTTCAACCTCGAAATATCGAACCCGCCGTCTGACAACTTCGCTCTCCTATTTTTTGTGCGTTTACTCACGATACTCTTGTTGTACATTTACGCATTTTCTCCTTGAATTCTACTTAGTGCAAACGAAAGTACTGATTGTTGGACAAATGCCCAACCGTGCGGTTTCACTGCGCTTTAATGACAAACATCAGAGACGGCAGGATGTCGTCCTACAACCTGTCTTCTCTGCAAGCCCTCTGCACAAGAAATTGTCTGTACTCTTGGCAGTTGTTCCAGTAATTTTCACTCTTTCCATCTAAATCGTCAGACAGGTTTTTATGGTTTTTGTGGTTTTTATAGGGTTTTTTTCATCTTTCACGTATCGGGTCCCTTATTTGGAGGGCGTTTTCTTCTAAATATATATCTGTCCTTTATTATTGATTCTTGCGTGTTAGGGAAGCTTATTTGTCAAAATTCGCCTAACCATGTTAGGTTAATCATAAAAATAATGATTTAGACTGCACGGTATTTTAGATATATTGAAAATGATCATTGCTATCATCATATCCAGACACGGTAGTCAAACGGTTTGTCAGCTGTAATTGGTTGGACGTTTTCTTCTACTCCGCGGCGATCCCTAGAAACTCTTTCAGAGGGAACTGGTCTGAGAGTATGATAGTAGACTAATTCTGCTGACACCAAAACTCGCTCCACTTTAGATGCGCTGGACCATGTCGAAGGTCAGATTTGCTCACAGTACGCGTTTATCGGGCTGCGCTCGGTCCGCGCAAGCTCATGACTGCCGAATATGAGTCGTAGGCCTTCATGACGCGTCAGTCATCGCACCCAACCCCAGCACGAGTTAATTGGGAGCATAGGACAGTGAACTGGTGCGTTAGAGAGACGGAAGAGAGAGTGTGAACCCGAAACCGGGGAATTTATATCCACGGCAAATCAGCGCTTTCCTCACTCGAAAAATGCTGAAGTACTTAAGCGTGTCATGGAGACTAAGATAGTGACCTAACGACGGAATATCAAGGCCCTCTCAGAGCTTTGAGTAAGGTTGCAATGTCTCCTTCTTAATGTAACTCTCGACAACATAAGATCCAACTCAAAAGTACACAGGCTCGGCAAATCACTGGAGACCAGATTGTGTGTGGAACGCGTAGATCAGCTGTTTGGCTTTGTCGGTCGCCGAACCCTAGTTCACTTCGGGGGTCGTCCTGATATTTTTTGCTATCGGAGTAAGGTCTCTAAGGAATAAAGTAGCTCAAAAAGTTTGGCGCAAGTTTCTCTAACTATAAGCTGTTTCACGCTGAAGTCACCGGCACGCGGTCCATATTTTCGGCGCTCCCATTTGCCCGCTGTCCAAGCCTGAACACATGGCATGTCAAAATCAAAAGACTCTCCCGACACCGGCCCTAAAATGGACCATGATTCCACAAAACCTTCTTTGCCTTTTGTTGGGAGTGCCTACACTCCCAAAAACAAGAGCCAGCCAATCACTGTAGGCCATGTGCGTTTTCTCTACTGCGCTGTCATCTTAATCGTGGCGCCTCTCCATTGGCTTTTCCACTCGGGCCTGAGCGATCTGCATATTTGAATTATCGACCCGCTCGTCTGGAATGTTCTTCCCGAAGGGCATTGTGCCGAACGTCGGCCAAGCACAGTAGGGTGTTATAAATATGCGTTAGTTCCAGTTACTTTTGACTTGCAATTTCGCTAATGCACATTTTCGTGGCCGGTCGCGTTCGCCTTCTCTGCCGCGCTGGTATTGGGGACAAGGGTCGAGTGCGTATACGCTCCACGGGATTTCAAGTACCAGGCGGGTCATAAGCCTGAGGTCACGATGTCCATAGAGGCATGTAGGTCATCCTAACAAATCCGCATCGCAAAAGCAAATGCGAACGGACAGTCGGGGCAGATTGAAAGGTGGCGGGACACTCTCGGCGTGGGTAAATTCTTTCTGCTATTCAGGCGTAATGAGGAAGTTTTTGATCGGTAAACCACACTTCAGCAGACGGTTCTGAATAGGCATTTAGAGCAGCCAGAAAATATGCTCTCTAACTCTAAGTTGTCCTAGTAGTTTAAGGGGATCTTCCAGCTCCCTGGCATTGACTGCCGTCGCGGAGGTGATTGATTAGTTGTTAATACTTCAAGGGTGGAAGAGATCACCCGGGCTCCCAAACACATTTCACAAACATTAAAGGCACAGTTAGAGTGCCAATGGAGTGCTCGTATAACTGAAACTGCGTTTGGCGTTTAAAAAGATCGTTAGTGGAGACAAAATTGTTAACTTAATGATGGAAGTTGCAGTGTTTCCTGAAGAAGAAACTTATCTGCGACTGTCTCTGATGATGGTTTCGAGTAAGAATCTGTAGTGTCGTACGGATGAACCTCTTGTCTTAGTGGTCGCATCTTCTTCTTTTCTAAACTCAACATTAGCAATTTCACTGGTAGTCCCAACAAATGCCTATTTAGACGATGGTTTTTAACGGCACTTCACCCAGTACGACCAAAACAAGGTTGACGAGGAATGAGGTAGCTCAGTAGACACGACACAAGTCTGTCTGGCTATAAACTGTTTCACGCTAAAGTCACCGGCAGTCACTGGCCATTGTCAAGGACTAAACCCATAGGATATCAAAATCTAAATATTCCCCGTCACTGGTTCTAAAATGTTCCAAAATTCAATAAAACTTTACCTTCCTTTCAAGGTGTTTAAACTTGAGGTCAGAGTGTGGACAGAAACATGTGGAACGTCCTAACAAATCCGCATCGACAAAGCGAATTCGCGCAGACAGTCGGGTCAGATCGAAAGGTGGTGGACACTCTCGGCATGGGTAACTTCTTCCTGCGATACAGGGGTAATGAGGAAATTTTTGATTGGTAAACCACACTGCTGCACACAGTGCTAAAAATAGACATATCCAACAGGTAGGAGGCGTGTTCTCTAGCTCTAAGTTCTCCTAGTAGTTCAAGGGGGATCTTCCGGTTGCCTGGCATTGACACCCGTCCTGCTGTGAAACCTAGTCTGTGGGGGCGATTGCTAATTGCTTTATATTTCTACGGTGGAACATTACCCACGGACTCAAAAGCACACTCCACAAAAACTTTAGGCCCATTTAGAGTGCTCATGTAATTGGAAGTGGAGGGCGTTCACCGGGAGAGGTTTATCTGAGGTCCGACGTTTCGAGTAGTTCATTCGTCTACCCATCTTCAGAGACTGGTAAGTCCTGTGTACAGCTCCTTTATAATGGCGTCCTTTGTCTATGAGTATTGGAAGTGCCTTTGGCGTTTAAACAGACCTCTAATGAAGACAAAATAGTCAAACTGTAGACAGAAGCATTAATGTTGCCTGAAGGGGAGACTTATCTGCGACGCTTAAGTGAGAAAAATATATTAGAAAATATATTTGAATTTGCGAGACTATTGAAAATAAGTGTAAAAAGTGCATGCTACGTAAGTAGTCTTTTTTACCAAGTACGGCTTCTACAGGAGATTGAGAAGCTGTGTATTCAAAAACTGACCTCCTGCCAGGTTTGAGAAATCATACGATAAGACAGCAAAAAATCAGTATCTCATAAGTATAAACTTTTTTAAAACCTACTTAAACCCCTTATTCGGGTATACAAGAAGGCACATTTTCGTTCGTGGGTTCGATAAAATATATTTGAATTTGCCAGGGCATCGAGAATCAATGAAGAAAATGCGTGCTAAATGGTCAGTCAACTAAACAGAAGCCAGAAAGTTCAATCACATTTATCTCAGTTGATATTGTAGCATTCTGAGTCTGAAAATGCAGGACTGGCTCCCGCACACGGAAGTCTTAAAAGGAACCGGAATCCTCAGCATTCAAGTTACGTCGAGGCGGCTGCAACTGCGGTGTTGCAGCTACTTGTAAGAATGGACAATGACCTATTACCCGAACGACTTTTCCATGGAGACGTCGCTACAGGTGCTTGCCGACAGGGCCGATTAAAACAGCACTATGC